GCTCCATGGCAATGGACCTAGGTATTTGCAAGACCGCCTCCTACCAAACACCTCCCTTCGACCAGTCCGCTCCCACAGAGAGGGCCTCCTTAGAGTGCCGTCGGCCAGACAATGCCGGCTGGCGACCCCCAGGGGGAGAGCCTTCTCTGTGGCAGCTCCTGCCCTCTGGAATGACCTACCCCCCGACCTACGTACAGTTACGGACCTGCGCCTTTTTCGCCGAGCCCTGAAGGCCCATCTATTCCGTGCGGCCGGCCTGGCGTAGTTTGATTATGTTTTAGTGGGGGTTTTGTATGGGGTGTTTTTAGAACAGGCCTGTTATTTAATTCGATTTTAGCACAGAAACAATTTATTATTGTGTTATTTAGTATCGCCTGTTCACCGCCCTGAGTCCCGTAAGGGAGATAGGGCGGTATATAAATTTAATAATAAATAATAAATCAATAAATGGGCCTTCTGAAATCACATCACTAAAATACAGGGGAAAGGCAATTCCCCCCCCCCTCCCTTTTTTTTTTTTTTTTTAACCAAAAGCAGCCCAAGCCGTTTCCCTTTGCCTCCTTTCCCAAGAAAAGAAAATTTTTACTGAATGCAACGGGCTGTAGCCTTCGGCTGGCGAATTTAAATTGGAAAGCTTTTCAAAGGCAGCACATAGAAGTTATTATGATTTATTATTTAGAAAGACAGATTCACGAAGGTGGCTTCACGGGACTTGTCTGAATCCATATACACAGGCCTAGAGTTTAAAGGGAGAGGTGTAAATATTTCTAAGTGATTCCATGTTTCTAGGCATTGACCTTCTGTCATCCCTGGAAACAGTTTGACAAACCACTGCCCTGCACTTTCCGCTTGGAAAACAGATCCGTGTCCTTCTTATGACGTGGGCAGCCACAGTTTTGCTCCATGTCCAACGGGGCGCTCTGTAGAAATTGCCAATGTTAGCTTGTGATGCAATGACGGTCTGACACTCCGAACACTTGGATGCAGTATTTATTGGTGAGATGTTTTGAGTTTTGAATGGAACACGTGGTGTTGATTAACTTATGAATGGCTGCACTATAATAAATTGTATTTTACATACCGAGGATTGTTGGCTCTGGATTGTCTTTCTGAATTACAAGCAGGACTGTGTTTGTTTCATTATGTTACATGTTTTGGAATCTCATGCCGGACAATCTGGTGTACGTCTGTTTGGAAACTAGCAGGGTCTACTCACTGCTATCTCCTTATATTTATTCATTTAGGTCAGGGGTAGGCAACCTTGGTCTTTTATGACTCGTGGACTTCAATTCCCAGAATTCCTGAGCCAGCATGGCTCAGCTTGGAAACCTCTCTCTTTCCCCTCAGCATGGCTGGCTCAGGAATTCTGGGAGTTGAAGTCCACGAGTCATAAAAGAGCCAAGGTTGCCTACCCCTGATTTAGGTATATCCCGCCTTTATTATTTTCACAAATAAGGTGACAAACATATCCAGCACTATTCCTCCTCCCTATTTTCCCCACAACAGCCCTGTGAGGTGACATTAATGATGGCAATGTGGTCCTAATTGCGGTCGTTAGTCAAGGACTACCTGTATGTACTTACTTTTGAAACACAGTTCAAGAAAGAGGCATCGGAGGCTTTGTGTGTTAATCTGCCTCAGTGTCCCCAACACAACTGATGCAGAACCCCTGGATGCAACCCCTTGCAGAATGAATTCTCAAGCTGAAATTTTCTGCTCCTGGAGTTTATCAGAAATCGAGGCAGTGGCCCTTAGGAAGTTGTTTTGGCACGGTTGAAAACCATAGATGGTTTTAACAATATCTGCAATGTTTTATTTACAATGGATATTGCTTGCCAATCCCGTTTGGCAGGATCGTTGTTCTGAAAAGTGGGCTGTCTGTCATTTTGAGACCTGGTAGCAGAGCAAAGCATCCCCGCCGTGGAGCCAAGTAGCTTATCGTTTCGTACATGCGAACGACACCACGATGCACAAACAAAAAGGCTGGGCTTGGTGTTGAGAA